GTTTAGGGTGGTGACTAGTCCTCTGCTTTGGGCCTTGAAATTAGATTTCTTATACGGGCTAAGCCCAATCGAAACCTTAACGATAAAGTTTGGTCAAACACATTTATCTTTTTCAGCATATGAGTAGATCTAATCTATAAGAAAACAGAAGAATAATTCAAAAAAGAAAAAAAATAAATACATATATAAAAGAGACCGTTCATTAATAAAAATTATAGCATATGGAAAACATCTTCTTTTGGTACAAATCCTTAACTTTTATGTCTAAATCAATATTCACTACAATTTTCTAAAAAAAATGAATGGTCGTCTTTTTTGCATCAAATACGTATTTAAAAATCTATATATCAGACAAGTTGTAACATGTTTTGATTCTACCGAGAAAGCTAAATCATCTCAACATAGGTGTTAGAATACATATTTTTTTTTCATTAGAACTTGAATAAGGAGGAAATACTTGATGTTTGATTTTATTTTTCTCAAGCTATTTATCACTTTGCTGTGATTTTTATCTTTCACATCAATTCATTGGTAAAATAATTCTATTTTTCTGGATTTACAATTTGTGTTGGAATAAAGTTGTTTTTTCGAGAGTTTTGGTTAGGAAAATTATTTTGTCCAACACAAATGATTTCAATTACATTAGCAGGTGATTGATAAATTGATTTTAAAAACTATAAAAGCAACTTGTAAACTCTAATTTCTCCAATCATACTTGTTGGATTTACCGGCCTTAAAAATTATAAAATCACTCTTTAATTTTCTCACACCATTTTGTTCATGTTTTCTTTTGTGATATATTATTTGAAAGTCAAAGTTACCTATATAAAAGAAAAAAAATATTTGTTTTCTATACATAAATTTTTATAAAAAGTTATCTTATAATTTACTTCAAAATTATATAAATGTACACAAAATACTTAGTTGTAACTCGTTATAATTATTTTACATAAGAATTAGCTATTAAATTGTTATAATTAATTGTTAAAGTTACTAATGGCACTTAATTTTTATTTTCATTTTAATAAATAAATTAAAAGACAAACATAAAAAAATTAAAGGACACATGGCAACTTCTCATGGTTTGAACTTTGAGAAACCTTACTATATATTATACTAGTGAAAAATCCACGCGTTGCGTGGAACAACTATTTAAATAATTTTTAAAACTATTTTAATATATATATATATACTAACATAGATATACTTAAATGATGTTTAAGATTTATGTTTACTATTTCTATTTATACAAATTCAAACATCATTTTCAAATATTTAATATGAAAGTGAACCATATGATGTTATATATAAATAATTGCATTTGAATACTATATTTTCAATTTTGCTCTAGAATTTAGCGTATTCTTTTGGAATTTTTTTTGTTATAATCCGTGTCCANTATTGAAAAAAAAATGTTGAGTCCACACGTAAGCGGAACGATAAAACTTATAAAGTGAAATATGAAATAATTTATAGATAAACACGAGTAAATTTTGTTTGAAATTATTGATCACATATTTGGTTTACAGAATTTGATTTTTATAATATCTAAATTTATATAGTTTCTACAATTTTTTAACAAAATGAAAGTTTTTTATATAAATTTATTTTTTATTCATATTTTTACGAGTATTTGCATAAAATACTCTATAAAAAATAAATGCCGTATGTGACATAAAAAATTTTAGTTTTTCCAAAACTATTTTTTTATCTATCAATAAATGAAGTTCATAACATTTTTTAAAAAACTGCATTTTCTAATATTAGTTGAATAGAGAAAAAATCTAGTACAAAATTATCAATGGTGTGTCAAGATGAGTGAAGATTAGCCGAGACTTACAAAATTGTTGTATCAATTATTGATACAAAATACCATACGTTACAATATATTGATATACCAAACATGATAGAAAATCATATAATGACATTATGGCATGTCGCCAATACAAAAAAAAACATCGGAACATC